GATAAAAAGCGCCAAAATATAATATTTTATACTACATAATGTTTTAATATTATATAATTTTAACAACATCATTTAATTACAACGTTTGTGTATAGACTGTGAAAATAAATATATATTTAATCAACACAAACATGACGCATTTAAGCTACAAACAGTCTAATTAAGTTTGGTGAAAAGTACAGCTTGTGAAGCTCCTCTTTATGAGACTTTCTCCAGTCTCCTAGTGATTCCTCCCTCTTAGGCCCAAATATTCTCCTCATCGCCCTGTTTCAAATACAATCTACGTTCCTCTCTTAGTGTCAGAGACCAAGTTTCACACTCATATAAAACTGTAAATAGAATTATGCTTTCGTATATTTGAATATCTACGTCTTTAGACAGCAGACGATAAGACAAAAGTTTATGAACTGAATGCAGTGAGCATTTACCAAATTCAATCTGCTCTTAATTTCCTCATGAATAAAAGGTTTTATTTGTTACTGATATTTAGGTACCATTAAGGTCTACAAATTCTGTTTTAAATATTTTTGTACTTAGCGAATATTTAGAGAAATAGAAGCAAACATATTTAAAATATATCTGTAGCGTGATTAAATTTTCAAAAATAGAATTGTATTTTAAATACTTGAATGTAAAAGTGTAGGCCTACAGTCCACGCTTAACAGGCCTTATACAAGACATGCAGAAACATTAGTACACTGACAAGAAGCTTGTCTGTTGTAGCTCATCACTGAACTGAATAATTATGACTACAGCAAACTCTTTCCGTATAATAAACAAAGAAAAACTCACGTCAAACTCTTTAGTAATCGTTGGTACTCCAACTGGCGAGAAGTCAGAATTGTTAGAGCCTACTGAATGATCAGCCATCTTTACTGAGGTTTCTCTGCTCACTGTTAATTTCAGACTAAAATAAATGAAATGTTTGTTTGTCTTTAAATAAGTCTAGCTTGGCGAGCGTAAGAATGTGTAACAACATATTTGCATAATCACAAATGCAAGGCTGCAGCAACAACCACCTACAACAAGGTCACACCAAAAATCAACTTCATAAAACGTAGATCTATTTTCAAGAGAGTCAACGTCTTGCGTCACTTCTCACTTCAACCTGCTGTAACATTTTCATTTTTAAAGTTCAGTGATATATTTTTATTGTTGCATTCTCCATGTCTTTGTTCATATAACTGCCTTTATAATGCATTTTCTGTTGCATTGTACTACGTACGTGTGACTTAGACATTTTTCCCTGTATTTCGAATTATTATTCACCTCGTAAAAGAAAATGTATCCTGCTACGAATTTACGTTCTATGCATACTTCCACCCATACTATGGCTATAAAATTTGGCTAAAGTTTCAAACTTCCTATTTTCGAAAATCACATCTCAATCGATCTTTCAATTCGTGAGAAAATACAGCGTATGTTTTACAAGTAAATGCAGATTGTGCACCATTTGACTGCAACATTCCTCATGAACCGAAAAGCAGATCATTGAAAACTAAACGCATTTGATTGTGTTATATGATCAAGAAGATTTCCGTCTTCTGGGTTGTTGCGCTGTGTAGTCTGGTCGATGTTAACCAACGTTTCAGAGGTCATACTGCCTCCGTCATCAGGGCGATGAGTATGAAGATTTCTGTCTTCTGGGTT